ACACACTACACACATCAACACACTATCACACACAAACACAGTGCCACATACTACATATTGGATAGTTCGACTGTGCAGTACACTTCAGAATTGCTCTTTAAGCAGTCACGTTGTTTTTGGAAAACACACACAAACACATGCACATACACATATTGGAAGATTCACTGTGCAGACACTCAGATGCTTAAGCAGTCACATTGTTTTTGGAGAAACAAAAAGGCCTTACTACTGTGAGCGGATCCTTGCTGCAACGGTGGGAGCCCAACTCCTATGCACTTTCACCCCATGGAGAGTCGAGTGCACACAGAAAAGAAAAAAAAAAAAAGCACCAGAACTGAGGAGGAAGGTGCCGAAGAAGAGTGTGGACAGGGGGCCAGCATTAACTTGCCCTCCATGGTGACCTGGCTGTGATGCTGCCTTGAATGCCAAGCGCTTACATCTCCCTTAGGTACAAAACAATTTCCTGTCTATTTAAAATGAAAGGTAGAGGAAAAATAATGAAGCAAGCGACATCATGAAGTGATTGATACCCTTTACCAAAGTGAACAGTTCAAACATGGAAAGACAAGAGACTGAGACTGTTCCAGCCTCAATGTCAGGTATATTTTTGAATTATATATATATACATATATATATCAAATGTGCCTGTCTGAACCTTTACTGAGTCCATATTGGCCCAGAGCCTAGGCTTGTGTAGTTCTCTCTCCTTGCTGGCGACACGAAACACTGTATCAGACTCAGTCACAGAGACATTGTTGAAATGTTGACTGATTAATAGCATTATATCTGCATCAATTTTGATGCTTTTACTCATGTGTACCACCCGTCTTTTATTTTTTTATTTTATTCTTTAACTCTCCTTGCTTCATTTTGTTTGAGTGTGTGAATATTTTTTGGCGGGAATGTGATAGAGAGAATGAGTAGGGAGAACGAGAGCACATTTTTAATTATTTTAGTATGTAATTTTTGTGTATGTTTGTGTGTCCTCTCAGCAATGGTTGGTTTCTAATCAGTGAAATGTCCTCATGTTGCATTCAGATCAGGAGTGCTGTTTCAATGAATGGATTCTTCATTTTTTTTCCTTTTTTTGATTCTAAGTATTTTTTTAAAGGTTACTCAGGATTCACGCAAAGTTGAATAATTATTTTGCAAGAATTTATGTCATTAATATGAAATACACTTTAAAGACTAAGAAAATTAAAATCTGGGTGACTGAAGTAGTTTGTAATCTTTTAATGAACAACTTGACTACAAACAAATTCAAGCAATTGAAATCCTCTGTGACAGAGGAGCATACAGTATGTGCTGTCTCTTGGTGTCACTGTTTGCATAACCTTTTTACAACCTCACTGGAGAAAATCATATCTTGATTGTCAGCAGACTGCAAATGTCTCTCCTGCAGCAACACAATACATTGTACAATTTTGCAGTTCTATAACAGTATATTAGGTAATGTTTTTTTAAAATTTCAAAGTTCTCTGTATTGCTTTTAAACAAACAGTACAACGTCTATTCGTCTGTGTCTCAGTCAGCCGACAAACACTGATGTTTAGACAAATTAAAGCTCACCCAACTCCTTTTCCTCATTTTTTTGTTTTGTTTTTGCCAAACCCATAACTCGGCCAGTGTGTAAAGAAGGGATCCAGGGTTTATTTTCACTTTAGTTATATATATATATGTATACATATATACATATATATGTATACATATATACATATATATGTATACATATATACATATATTCTAATACATATATATAAAATGACATGCCACGAGGCAGGTTAAAAAACTACTAGTTCTCTATTTTTGTCTCTAAGAACTCTTGGCATTCCACTAGAATAAGACGTTTTATGAAAGGGAAGGCAGAATTGTTGCCTAGCTCCTTTATCACCTTATTAAATCAAACTCTCTGCAGAAAATGTTAAGTAAGCAGTGTAAATCAACATAGTAATATTTAAAGACAAAAAAATAGATACAGGTGTGCACATTTTAATACCAAACGAGTGTTTAGCCGCTGTACAAAAGAGTATGTGCATATAAATATATATTTTTTAAATAATCAAATGAATGCATCTGTTTTCTACACACAGCTGACATATTGTACATTGAGATCCTGTAATTACCATTGTGTTTCCAGAGTTTTTATCTACTTCTATTTACAGGTGTGGAACTGGGGTTTGGTGTTTTGATTTTGATTTTTCACTTGGTTTCAGCCTCTCCCTGTTCTGTATCATAACCACTCTTGTATTCTTCATTATCTCTCTCTATCACTGTCGTCTCAGTCGACCCAACTAGTGCCAAACTTTACCTACGTACAGTTGTTTGTGGGCTGTGATACGCTGATTGGCAAACTTTCTCTGGGCTCCAGTACTGTTCATGCAAGAGAAACACACCTTGAGTCAAATATTCCACGAGGCTCAACGTGGCAGTGACAGTGGCAAGAGTCAGAGTTGGACTCAGGTCAGAGCCATATACATTCTGACAACTCTGTCGTCAGTTATTTCACATGGACCCATGCTGGATCATAAAGCCTTGGTAGCTCCCGACCCGACATATTCTGGCTCATTAAGTTGTAAAAGTTTGTTGGCTTCTCACTGTGCAGTCTTTCAAACCACAGTGTCCTCTGATGATTGTGCCATAAATACATCTATGAATGGTTGTTACCCTTATGTAGCATCAATATACGTACGTTTGTCTAATGTAACCATTCACCCTTATCTACATTGTGGGGGCAACTGATTTTGTTGTTATTTATAGCTGTCATAAAACACCATCCCTAAAGTATCACAAGTTCTCATTGATTTTTATTGGTGTGTGTGTGTGTGTGTGTGTGTGAACTTGCAATGTACTATATATAACTCTGCCTTCTTTTTTTGTCCATGGTACCTTAAACAACCTTTAAAGACCCTAAACACACCTGTTGTACAACCACATATTCATTTATAGGTCGGATAAGTCATCCTTTCAGGACAATGTGGGTGTGTACAAACTGTGTTTGATTGACATCTCCCTCACTCTATGTTATGTTGCACTTCTGGGACAACTTAAACCCCTTATTGTTTATATTCGGGCATGATAGCCTACATAACCACCCAACTTCAACCTCAGCAGAGGTCTAATCAGCCATAGTAACTGACCTGTGTGGGTGTGCAGAGCCTTTAAAACTGTATATAATAACTGTATACTAATTATTCTAAGTATTTTTTACATTAACAAAGGATCATATGAGTATGTTTAATGTAAAAACCCACAGATAATTTCAACCAACTCTGCAGTTCCTCTCAGAAATATCAGACAGTGTTTCAGCATCTTTCAGCTCATTGCTTTGGTTTTATGGCCCACTAGTTTACTGTTTTGGTTCACTCATACCACACTCATCTGCATCGTTTTTGGCTCAAGCAGGAACCTTATTTTAGCAAAAAAGTTAACTAAATGGCAGACAGAGAAAATTAGTGACTATCTAGTAACCAAAGTCATTTAAAAGCCAAAGAGCCAAATATTTGGGGAGTTGGAGGAAAGAAAATTGAGCTAAAAGGAGAATAAATATTAAACTTACATTCACCAAGTCACCTGAAACATGACTCCAAATTGATGTTTTCTGTGTTTGCTCAATTGTGAATAAGCCAGTGTGTTTGTTAACTCCCATAACATTCTGTGTCAGTGTGTTTACCGCTTGATGCTCAGCCCCCAAGTGGACAGAAAAAACACAAAAAATGAATGCAGGATTAAGCGTTGTTTGCTTAAAAGAACTGAAAACAGTCTGCTCACCATATCATGAATCACTGTATATAGAGCACGTAATGTAATGTCAATGCATTTCTCTGCTGAGAGTAAAGCAGTGCAAAGACAGGAGAGGTACACTCAGAACTGGGGTGAAACATAGTTGCTTTTTACTCACATGAACAAACAGTTTATGGATTTATAATAATTAATGATTTTTAGGCTGTGTCCTATTGAAATTATTCTGTATTCATTCATTAATTTATTATTGAATGAGGTAATCTAGGGGATAATATTAATATATGGGTAATATGAGAATTTCTTTCATAGGTGGGTTTTAGCAATTTAACAGTAGGTAAAAAAAAGACAGGGCAAGTTTTCAATATCTTTTTTCAAAGACTTTTATGAATACACAAAAAAACCTCATACTACAAATAAACAAACGTTAACCTCAAATATAAATGTAGTACATTCTCAGTACTGATAAGCACCATTTAGCGGAAACCAGTGTTGCATAGTCATTTTCTAGAAATCTACCAGGGTTGCATTTGCTTTCCAAGAGACGGATGTTTCATGGAGCTCTTTCCCAGGAGAAGGGGTCAGAGTCATTCCAGATGACGTGGATCTTGGCCCATGTCCAGCTCCAATACACAGTTCAGAACTTTCTTGGAAAGTCCAATTTTCCCTCTACACATACAATTCAGTGGTGTCATTTGTGTGACCTGACACTGTCCTGAGAAGTCAGGGCTATGAACCATCATAGGTGTACTTACTATGAATCAGTGATATATACCTAACCCATCGCTACCGCACCAAGGTTCATAGACATTTCATTGTCTGGGTTCAGAGCAACTCTGACCTACAGAGAGCTAAATCATTAGCACACTTGTGTTCCCAGGATGTCCTTTCAGCACAGAGTCTTTTGTTTCCCTTGCAGCTGAAAAGGATTGTGCAAACATGCATATTGCTCAGTACAAATCTGGATACTAACTGAATAAACTGGATCACATTTCCATATGTAAAGAGCTTCTTTTACCACTGAAAGACCGTTGGAAAAACTGTAATGCACCAGAACTGGACATTAGAATCCAGAGTAATACAGTTTTATGCACCGGTATCATGTGGTGTATCACATGTGCAAAATATATAAATTCTGGCTCAAACAAGCTGTAATAAATACTTGCTTGCCTACTTGTGATAAGGAGTGTTTGAGGAGGGACTTTTCTGTTGCCTGCGGACCGCACAGATGGAGTAAGGTTTGGGCTGTAAGGTCATGCCCAGTTTGGGAGTGACAGTGGGAACAGTTCCTGGAGGGAATTGAAGATGAAACCTCTGCAACAAAGTGGTGAAAAAGAGGAACATCTCCATCCTGGCCAGCTGTTCGCCCAGACACTGACGCCTCCCTGAAAAAGAGAAAATTCTTTGATTTAGGCTCTGATATGCACAGGCACATCTGGCTAATTTAATTCCTAAGAAATACAAGCAAAGACATTTAAATATAAAACGAAATTGGTTTAACTGAGGATTGTCAGTGCTGGAAATGTAAAAAAAAACAACAACACACAATGGGAATGTCCTGTGACAAAGACTATATGAGAACAGGAGATAATGCACATTGCACATTGCACATTTATACATTGTATGGATGCTGTAACCAGTGTGGCAAATTAACTGTGAAAATGTAATTTAAAAAAAAAAGAATTTCATGGCTATGGAAAAGCAAAAAAAGCCTTTTCTAACATCTAACATCAGAGCAGCAACCACTGCATTCTAAGGAATTATTTTTTTGCCAAATTAATCACATTTTTAAACAGCAGCCCAGGTGGCATGTTCACCAATATGTGCGAAAATCACTATGCACATGTATTATGTCCAGATGAATAAAAAAGCCTCTTGGAGCCATATCTCAAACCCAACAGAAAGTCCACCATTTTGAATTTAGCGGCCATATTTTTACATGCAGAATGCTTGACCAAACTCCTCCTTGAGAATTGATTGCATCAACTTCAAATTTGGTCATAAAATCTAAAGACCTTCACGATGAAAACAGTGTGTCGAATTTCAGGGTCTCACCAAGAAACAGGAGGTTGTTGTAACTTCACATGCTTGATAAGAGTCCTGCTCTGAACACATCTACATGCTAATATTCAGTCATAGTCATAGGGCCACCTACTGGCAACAGAAAGTGCTGTTTTATACTTTTATGTGCTACCTCCAGGAGGTTTACCAGATCCACCTTAAATCTGGTCAGAAAAGCCTTAAAACTAATGTTGCTTTGTTGAACCGTGTATCCGGGGCATGCTGTTGAATTTTGTATCACCATGAAACAAGAAGTTGTAACTTGACTGTACATTGTCCAGTCAGCCCAAACCTTCACATGGTTGATAAGAGTCCTGGCCTGAACAAATCTACACGGCAACTCTCAGTCATAGTCTTAGAGCCTCCTACTGGCAACAGTATGTAAGCCTTGTGTAGCAATCATCATTTAATTTACATGCTTATTTTTACAGTGTGATTTAAGGGGGGAAGTAGACAGCACTGAGAAAAATAAAGCTAAAGACAGAATTTAGTGTTTTAAGTGTAAAACCTCATTGCTGTCGATGCACATTCATGTGTGTTGGTTGAGTTTTATGTTTCTGTTGATGGCTTGGCAGCATCTGATTCTGGGGTTGCCACTGACCAGGGGCACTGGTCTCTGTCTCTGTATACTGTAAATAGTAGGTTTTCACTGATCTAAGAGCCTAAAGTATTCCAGGGAATTCTCTAGATTTTTAAATATGATTTATGAAAACAGTTTGTGAACAAAGCCACTGACCGGTGACTCGTTAGTGACTACAGCCATAATAATTTGGATCAAGAATGTTGGAATTGAAGAGAACCATGAAGAGACTAACCCAAAGAGAATGGCAGGAAGGCCTCACGCCTCACAAAGTTGCCATTGCTGTCCAGAAACCTCTGTGGTGAGAAAACTCCTGGATCGTTCCAGTACTTCTCATCAAAGTGCACTGAGTAGAGATTCGTGATCACCATGGTGCCTTTAGGAATTGTGTACCCATTGACGTTTGCATCCTGGGAGGTAGCACGGAAAATACCAAGTGGGACAATGTTACAGAAGCGAAGGACCTCATGCAGGACAGCCTCCACATACGGCATCTTCTGTTTGTCCTCCAAAGTGGGCGCCCTCCCATTGGCCAGCACGCTGTCGATCTCCCTGTGCACCCTCTCTTTGTAGGGTAAAACAGACACCATCAGGCATTTATTCATGCATAACATTACATAACATCAAATCAAATCTCTCTTGGGGGTCACATTAGAAGTAAAATGTTCTATACCTTGTATGTTGGGGTAGAGGGCCATGTACAGCATGGCCCATCGCAGGGTGTTAGTCGTAGTCTCTGTGCCAGCAATTATGAGCTCACCCACTGAATAGATGAGGTTCTCATAGGAAAAAGAGGAACTGGGGTCTCCTGTGTTCTGCTCCAACTCATCCAAATAGGCATCGACATAGTGGCGAGGTACATGTGGCACCCTGCCCTGTGAAAAACCATTTATAACCTCTAGTAGGAAGTCATACACCTCAGCAGCATTGCGGAACAGCTTCTGGTGTTTTCCAAAGGGCACATACTCAATCCAAGGGAAGGCATTGTAGAGGAGGGCCCAGCCGCTCACCGCTAGCTCCACATTCTCACTGAAAATCTCAATCATGTGCTGGAAGTTGCGGTCGTCGTAAGTAAAACGCTGCCCAAAAATGATCAGGTTGGTGATGTTGGACACAGCGTTAGTCACTAGGTGTTTGGGATTGAAGGGCTTTCCCTTGTGTTCGTCAATGGCATCGACAAAGAACATGCACTCTTCTGAGATCTTCCTCTCGAACAGTCTCTGGCCACTGCCGAAGTAACGGAAAGAGTTGCAAGCCAGTTTACGGTGTTCAATCCAGCCTCTGCCATATTTGCAATTGAGAAGTCCTTTGAATGCAAAACAGAAGAGATGAGTCATTTATCATTTCAAATGCAATTTAATTCAAACACCCGTGAGAAGCAAAGTATGCATTGCAAACTTATCACAGCATCTTACCACCCATTTTGGTCATTTTCTTGAATAAAGGCAGCGACGGGCGGTCAGCAAACACCTCGCTCTGATGGTAAAGGCATTCCCTGACACAGTCGTATCCATTTAATACCACGGTCAATATGCCTCCCAGGTCAATACTGAAAATCTGAAAGGTACACATTACAACATGGGCACTGGACTCCTTTTGTTCTCTGCACACATTTTTAATTCAAAAGAATGCCTTATAGTCAAGGAATGAAGAGATTGCAGACACATTGCAGCAGAAGGATGAGTTAAACTTGAACTGGATAGTGTTTGAAGGAAATCTCTCCATCTAAAGAGATATCCAGCTCTGCACCTAAGTTATGTTAAACTTTAAAAAGTGCATGTCACTAACAGGAAATGTGTGTCCTTGTATGTACGCATTGGGAGGAGGCTTAAATGTTTCCCTGATTGGCCAGTTATTCTCCTCCAAGCAAATGCTGCAGACCGCCAAATGTTAGGGCGAGTCTCTTTTGTTCGCTTCTACTTCCTAGTGTGAGTGTGTGTGTGTGTGTGTGTGTGAAAGAGAGAGAGAGACAGAGCGAGAGCAGGTTTGTGTGTGTGTGTGTGTGTGTGTGCGCATGTGTGTGTCACGAAAGCCTGAAACCTCTTAGGGTCATGCGCTGCACAGTCTGCAGATAACTCAGTTTTCACTCAAAAGAAAAGCATTGCAGAGTCCGAGTCATTACCTGTCCATGAACTTCACTCTGTGTCTTGAGGAAGACGTGCGGCTCGGTGGCTAGAGACAGAATGTTCCCTATCACAGGGATGGGAGATGGACCAGGAGGAAAGCCCGGGGGTCGTCTCTGCTTGACGAGCTGGCGAACCAGCAGGAAAGCGAGCAGGACGACAGTCAAGCAGCCCACACCGAGCAGAGCCTGTTCGCGGGACACCGACACCAGAGAAGGCGATTTAATTGAAACCATCTTTTCCAAAAAATCTGTCCTCCCTGCTACACTACCTCTGCTGACTTCGGCTTCTCCTCAGAGTAACTGAAGCACATAGCCTATGTAATGTATCATCTTGCACATTTTCTATCCCCCGCCTCTAAGGCTAAGATTGGCCAGACACTCAGAGTCAACTGTGGGTGAACTTTGTTCTGCTCCTGATCAATAACCCGGATCATTTATTTTGAGGTTTTTTGGCTGCTTTTAATGGACCTACAGAGGTGGCAGGAGACCCTAAAAAATAACGCTACAGTTCATCAAACCCCTTATTAAAGTTGTAAAAAAGAAAAAGAAAAAAAAAGAATGCTGAGTCATTAAAGTTGCAGAAAGTTTAATTCAAGTTTAATTCTGTTAAAAATGCTGTTTGGCTTAAACAAGCGTGCGGACCAGCTCTTTGACGCACAGACAGAAATTGGCATCAAACAATTATGTAAATATGATAAATATAATATATTATATTGCATATTGTAGGGGAGACTGGGGTGGATTGAACTGATGAGCCCCCCATTGTTTCAGGGAAATCTAATCCTAACCCATAAACACACGTGCACACAGTTTGGAAGCATCTTTCCTAGTAGGGAGGTACATGGAATATAATGTGGAACATCTGGGCTCAAAAACAGGTTTTGTGTATTTTAAGTTAATATGAAATGCTGCTGCCTGTTAACAAAGGTTACCAAGAATAAAACTAAACATTACGAGGTAGTTTCAATTCAGGTCCAGTTCAATTCTATGTTAAAGCAAAGGAACAATTGCTGTTTAGTCAACATCAGTGCATTTCCTAAGCTACCAAGGCTTCTTTTATTTTTACTGGATGAAATTAAAGTGAAGTGGGTTCTGATTAATTTCTCTTCCAGTCTTTGTAACAGTTAAAGACGCTAAAAATAAAAAAAAACATTTCACCATTTTCTATGCACATTTGTATATATAGCCACAAAATTGCACTCTGGGCCCAAAAGTTCAATATGTTCTTTAGGTAGCTGGCTAAAAAAGCTTTTGGATAAGCTCTTGACACAGGTTTCTGATGTTTGAGTTTGATGTTTTCTGGGAAGCAAGGCTAGGCATTATGCCATTGGCTAAATCAAATGTCCAGTGGCAGACACAACTCAGATGTCATAACTAAAATTAGCTCTGAATGAAGAAGACAGAACAGAGATGGAAATATATAGAAGAAAT